GTGGGAGAACTACCAAGAGTGAAGAAACAGGAGGACTTGGCAGGAAATCATGAGGGAGGGAGCTGTGCAGAGCCAGTTCACCGGCCATCTGCAAGCCTGGGTGTTTCTCCGGAGGAGGTCACAAGGCATTCTGACCCCCTCACCTGGTGTCAAAGGCAGCAGACAAAAATTAAAACAACTAGCCTCTGCTCCAAAGCCCCTGTCCCCAGCTCCTCCCTCTGGCCAACGTCTCCACAGATCTCTGCTTCTCCTTTTTGACATTTTAGGATCTTCAGTTTGCAGCTGATGCATAGATGTATGTGTTTGGATGATCTGGTGTGAAATTAAAACCCAACCAGAACCAAAGAGTGTATACTCTTCCAGGTGGAAAAGAAAGCAAGGCTAGAACTAGGGTGGAGACTTTGATTTTTCATGTGAGGAGCAGGGATAGCAGAACAAAGAGAATGGGAAACTGCCTCTCCACCTAGTTCCATCCAGACATGAGGACACAATGGTAGTAGGTGGGTGGCAGTTAGGAGGGTCCACTTGAAGAAGGTAACCATGAGACTATCGAAGCTGGAATAAAAATTTAGACCAATGGTCACGCATGGTGGCTCATGCCTATAATCCTAGCACTTTGGGAGGCTGTGGCTGTGGCAGGAGGATCACTAATCCCGAAAGTTTCAGACCAGATTGGGGAACATAAAGAGACTCAGTGTTTATAAGAAAAAAATTTTTTTTAATTAGCCAAGCATGGTGGTGCATGCCTGTAATCTCAGGTACTTGGGAAACTGAGATTCCCAAGGAGGATAGCTTGAGTCTGAGAATTCAAGGTTGCAGTGAGCTATGAACGCACTACTGCACTCCAGCCTGGGTGACAGACCAAAAAACAAAGCAAGAAAAAGAAAGCAAGAAAGCAAGAAAGCAAGAAAGGAAGGAGGGAAGGGAGAGAAAAAGAAAAAAGAAAAAAAGAACTTAGACCAAGACCATTGGGGCCATTTAGTACAAGGGCCCCTTATACCTAACCTTATAGCTATGTAAGGAGGCCCAAACTAAACAAAAGTGTTAATAGCTAATGTTTATTAAGCCCTTAATATAGCCACCCTGCTAAGTGCTTCACATGTATTATTTCATTTAATTACCACAACCAGGCTGGGCATGGTGGCTCATGCCTGTAATCCCAGCACTTTGGGAGGCTGAGGTGGGCAGATCATGAGGTCAGGAGTTCGAGACTAGCCTGGCCAACATGGTGAACTCGTCTCTACTAAAGATAGAAAAAATTAGCCAGGTGTGGTGGTGTGTGCCTGTAATTCCAGCTACTCAGGAGGCTGAGGCAGGAGAATCACTTGAAATAGGGAGGCGGAGGTTGCAGTGAGCCAAGATCACGCCATTGCACTCCAGCCTGGGCGACAGATCCAGACTCTCGAAAGAAAAAGAAAAAATAAAAGAAAGGAAAAATTATTACAACTGCTTTATGAGTTAAATATGATTAGAATTCCCATTTTACAAATAAGAACATTAAAGGCCATAAAAGTGAATGGATTAGCATAAACACAGGGCTAATAGTGTTGGAGCTGTCTGATTTCAGAGTGTGTTCTTAGTTCCTGAACTGCATACATCTGTAATCCCAGCACTTTGGGAGGCTGAGGCAGGAGGATCACTGGAGCCTAGGAGCTCAAGACCAACGCTGGCAACATGGACAGAACACTGTCTCTACAAAAAATAAACAAAAAATTAGCCAGGTGTGGTGGTACGCACCTGTAGTCCCAGCTACTTGAGAGGCCTAGGTGGGAGGATGGCTTAAGTCTGGGAGGTTGAAGCTACAATGAGCAGTGATCATGCCACTGTACTCCAGCCTGAGCAACAGAGTGAGACTGTCTCAAAAAGAAACGAACAAAAACCCCATCAACCAAGTACCTGACCCACAGTTTCTGGTGAAGCTGTTTTCCCCCGATCCATTTCTCAAGAGTGTTGAGGATATCACTGAAACTCAACACAGGTCATATAGAAGTTGCTGAAGATTTTGATATTTTTTAGTTAATTGATTATGAGATTAATACATTCCCTATATTCTGAGAGTTTGAAGAAATGGGAGAAACTGCAAAGCCAAGTATGTATATTAGGGATGATAGCACAGCAATTAAGAGCTCAGATTTTACAGCCTGGCATGGTGGCGTGAGCCTGTGGTCCCAGCTACTTAGGAGGCTGAGGCTGGCAGACGGATTGAGGCTGGGAGGTCAAGGCTGCAGTGAGCTGTGATTGTGTCACTGCACTCCAGCCTGGGTGACAGGAGACCATCTCAAAACAAAACAAAACAAAACAAAAACGCTTGGCTGGGCGCGGTGGCTCATGCTTGTAATCCCAGCATTTTGGGAGGCTAAGGCGGGTGAATCACCTGAGGTCAGGAGTTCGAGACCAGTCTGACCAACATGATAAAACCCCTTCTCCATTAAAAGTACAAAAATTAGCCTGGCGTGCTGGCATGTGCCTATAATCCCAGCTACTATGGAGCTGAGGCAGGAGAATTGCTTGAACCTGTAAGGTAGAGGTTGCAGTGAGCTGAGATCACACCACTCCACTACAGCCTGGGAAACAAGAGCGAAACTCTATCTCAAAAAAAAAAAAAAAAACAAACCTGAACTTTGATGCCTACATCCCAGCTTTGCCAAAATCTTGCTGAGAGCCTGATGAAATCAATTCTCGAAGCCTCTGTTTCCCCCTACATAAGACCAATGCCACCTGACCTGGTGTGGTTACTGTGAACAGTAAGTTAAATGATGCATGTCAGCCCAGAGCACAGTCCTGACACACAGTGACAATCATCTTCGGCATCCTCATTGTCACTGTGCCCTGCAGCTATGGCCAGGGACAGCTGCCCTCTGTACCTGGCTTTGAGGGGAAAGTGACCTTCCTAGTGAGGATGAATCCCAAGCATACAGTATGGCCTCTCCTGTCCCTCTGTGACTTTGTGGGCCTAGGGATAAGTGTTGCTCCAGAAAAAAGGGGCATAGGATGAAGGTCCCCACAAGGTTAAGACATGGAGTTGGAATCCATCATTTGACATTTCAAGAGTCCAACAGAATTTTTGAGGAAGGGCAAGATGGGGAGCTGTGTCAGAAGGCACAGTGGAAAGGGTTTGGGGATTACATTAGGGACACAGCAAGAATCCAACCAGCCTTAGTCTCATAAGTGCAGGAATTGAAAGGGATATTTACTTATCTTCCTTCCTATCTGGCTTACCATCTCATGCAAAGAAACTTCACATTATACCACTAGGAAGCCTCCTTGGAAACAGAGTCCTGCAGTCGGATGGGGAACAGGAAGATGCCAAAGAAACCCAAGACATCCTCTTTCTGGAAAAGATTCACCAGGATGCAATTTATCAGCACATGTCAGTTACCATCAGGATTTCCTTGCTTATCTAAAGGCCATTTATCAGGTGTCCTAGTCCCCTGGAAGCTAACCAAAAACCAGAACGAGGGACCAAAGGCCTTGTGATACCCCTTCTGGAGCAGTCAGAGGATTACAAAGCCCATGCACTAAAGGTGAAGTACTTTAGCTGCAAGAGAGTCCCTAAAACCCTCTCTCAGTGACTACCTTGTTTTCCTTTAGACTCAGTTTTAAATAATGTGGCTGATTTATCAGTCCATTGCAGAGCGAAAGTCATAAACTTGAAGTGGCCAAGGGCTAGGGGCTGGCTCACTGAGGAGCAATGGTTGCAGCCTGACCACAAGCGAGACAACACCAACTCTGAAGAGCAACACAGCACAAGGGGCAACTCCATGTAGGTCAAACAGCTACACCCACCTTCCTAGATCTGAGGGTGCCACTTCTCTGACATGAGACCTGGCCACAATATTTTGACTCTCTTGGGATGGCATGGGATGTTAGGAATGGCCACATGACATGCTTTGGCTTATGACACGTGAACAGAAATAATGAGAGTCACTCCCAGGCAGAAACTCTCAGAGCTAGCAGGTGATTCATCAGGCTTTGTTCCTGCTCCACTATGGTGAACAGCAACACTTCCAGATAATGGCAGCTCTACCAGCCTGGATCCTAGAGTGAGGATAAAAATCATGCAGAGCTGAGCCTGCAGCCAACCAAAGAGGACAAGTGGCATGGGCAAGAAACAAATTTTGTTGCTTTTGGGGTTGCCTGTTACCACCATACAACTTAGTCTATCCTGACTGGAACATCCTAAAAGTTGAATGAAGTCAGCTCACTTTGTTTAAAAAGTGTGTGTTACTTTTTTGGTAGATTACCATTCAAAATAATATTATATTTTGCTGCCTGTAGGATAATTTTCAATTATATGGAAATTCACCTACTTTAGTGTTTGCTGGATAAATGAGGGATTACCAGAACATGAATCAAATGAAGGAAAGGATCTAGTTTCTGAACCACTCCTGTCACTAGGGAGGCTCCAGGTCTCTTGTTCACGGTTTTGTAAAATCCACCTGCATTACTTATGGAGCTAAGGTGGGAGCTGGGTCTCACGTGCTACTACTGCCAGAACTGGCCTCCCAGCATTTGCGGAACCAGCATAAGGGTGGCGTATACTCGGGATTGGTCTACGGCTGGTTGTGCAAATGCTGAGGGGCTCTGGTGCCCAAGTGGTAGTTGAAAGGCCCCATTATATATCTGTGATCTCATAGAAGGAAATCTATGGGCTGGGTGTGGCAGCTCACACCTGTAATCCCAGCACTTTGGGAGGCTGAAGCGGGTGGATCACCTGAGGTCAGGAGTTTACCACCAGCCTGACCAATATGGTGAAACCCCATCTCTACTAAAAAAAAATACAAAAATTAGCCAGGCATGGTGGTGTGTACCTGTAGTCCCAGCTACTCAGGAGGCTGAGACAGGAGAATTGCTTGAAACTGGGAGGTAGAGGTTGCAGTAAACCAAGATCACGCCACTGCACTCCAGCCTGGGCGACAGCGTGAGACTGCATCTCAAAAAAAAGAAAAAAAAAAAGGAAATCTATGATGTGTTCTTGAGTAAAAGAGCAAGCCAACAACTTCTTGGGAATATATAGTCATTTTAAGCATACATGGCACATTTACAACACTGATCTCACACTAGGCCAACAACCAAGTTTCAACACATTTTGAAGGATGGAAACCATATGGGTCATTTTCTCTGACCACAAAGTAATTAAGCTAGAAAAGAAAAACGGTAACTAGAAAAATCTCATGTTTGGAAGGTAGGAAATACACTTTTAAGTAACCCATGGGTTACACATCCTCTCACTTAATACTTCTAACTATTCATAATGCAGACCCTCATTTTAGAAACGCAGGAGCTGAGATACCATTTGCTCAAATTTACCCATTAGTGGTGGAGCCAGGACTCAAGACCAGGCTCCATAACTCTAGAGCCCAGGGCTTTAATGATACCCTTCTTACAGTATGTCTCATGGGAATTCACAGATCCTCCCACACAGCCTCAACAATCTGCTGTTTCACCTCTTAGAAAGGCCAGCCGTTGAGAGGTGGAGACATAGGCCCAGCTTGCTCTTGTGGCCCTGACCATGGGCCATTGTGTAGAGATGCATTTCCTTTTTGCTCGTGCCTACTTGGACTGAGGCACGAAGTCTTGAGCAGTGGAGAGGGGAGTTTCAGTTTGATGCCCCCCAAACAGCTTTGAACTAGATCCCTAGGACAACTTCCTTCCTTTAAAAGTTTTTTTCCCACATGGGTCCAAGTGGTAAGTGAACACAGAAGAAAGACAGAAGGAAGCCAATTCCAGATGGCTCTCCATCTTGCTCTAATGCAGATTAAACAGAAAATTCCAACATAACATTAGGCAAACATGAGTATTAATATCATTCACATTATAAATGGAACAGAATGGAAATTCAGTCTGTATCTGACTTAAATTTGGGGCAAGGGCCTCAGAGCCAGAAAACAGACAATAAAAGCACCCTGATTCTGAGCGAGTTGGAGGTTTGTAATGTTTGAGGTAAGAAACACAACTAAGGTATTCCTAGGCCTCTCTGGGAGTGGCCTTCTGAGTTTTTAAATTTTATGTAACCCTCTCTCTCTCTCTTTCTTTCTTTTTAAGTTGGAGTCTTGCTCTGTCACCCAGCTGGAGTGCATTGGCATGATCTTGACTCACTGCAACCTCCACCTTCTGGGTTCAAGCAATTCTCCTGCTTCAGCCTCCTGAGTAGCTAGGACTACAGGCATGTGCCACCATGCCTGGCTAATTTTTTTGTATGTTTAGTAGAGATGGGGTTTCACCATTGGCCAGGCTGGCCTTGAACTCCTGGCCTTAAGTGATCCATCTGCCTTAGCCTCCCAAAGTGCTGGGATTACAGGTGTGAGCCACCACGCCCGGCCTTCAGTTTATTTTTAAGATGGGGTCTTGCTCCACTGCCCAGGCTGTAGCTGAGTTTTAACTGACCAAACTACTTGCCTGTTGTGGCAAGGGCCTGCAAATGGCCATTTAACACTGTTGTTCTGTCATCTTCCCCATCTCAACCTGCTTGTGTTGTTTCCTATTAAGGTACATTTTTAGCAAAGTGCCCAAAGACATCCAGAGCTTCTGAGGTACCTCTTTGTACCTCAGTTTCTCTCCCTGTACTGTGAGAGCCATGCTGTCTGCCCCTCTGTGGGCTCACAAATACAACTTACTACTGTAAGTATAAGTAGTACTATGTTTCATGCAATGAGAAGACTTGGAAATAAATAGAAAGTGGGATCACAGCCCATACCCTAGAAATTTACCTAAAGTGCTCAGACTTCACCAAGTGGCCCTGGGGAAGGAAAAGGCTAAGAGATAGGGAGAGATAGTGTTGGGTTGGACTAGAGTTTCTGATGGTAGGAATTTTCACTCCATCCTTTGGCTTCATCTCTTCCACTGAAGCAGCACTGGCCATGGGTGAGGGAATGAGCTCGCTGGGCTAAGTCTTTACACCCAGGCCTCACAGTGCTCAGCTCGGGGTTTGCATTTCCCCCAGTCCCACTCTACTGCTTATTCCCCACTCCATCAGGACTAAGGCCCCAGAAAGTCTGTTGGTCAATAAGTAAGTGATCCCAGTCCCAAAGTGATTTGAAGATCAAGTCTAAGATCAAAGCACCCAGTTATCCAAGTAGCAGTGTAATTACACCTTTCAAGCTGTGAAAAGGGTCATGTTGACCACTTCCTGATAGGAGCTCATGGCTGCCCCTGGGTAGCTCCCAAATGGAAACTTGGTTCAAGTGACCTTTACAAATGGCCAGTTGTGCCTACAGGCTGGACAGATAGTGGGGGGCCCCAGGGGTGAGCGACGGTCCAATGCCTTCAATAAGGTTGTTCCATTGATCATAGTCTTCTTTCAGGTCTGAATGGGAAAAAAACAAGAAGGTTAGGCAAATCATTGTGATGTTTTGTCAAAGAGAAGCTGTCAAGGATTGAGGGGGTCATCCTAGAGACAGGAGCACCTGGGATGCCAAAAGGACTGGTTATGGTGGGGTTGTATGGTGGTGGCGGTAATGATAACTATGATTTATTCAGTGCCTTTATAAATAACTTATGTAATCCATAACAATTCAATAACAATAATAATAACAGGGGGTAAGATTTATTGATGGAGAATTCATTCTAGGGGTTGTATTAAATGTTTTACATTCGTGGTTTCATTTAATTTTCACCATATCCCTATGAGCTAAGTATTACTATTAGTCTTATTATATATTTCAGGAAACTGAGGCTCAGGGAAGCTACCTGATTTGCCTAAGGTCATTACAGCTGTTAAATGGTAGAGACAGAATTCAAACCCAGGTCAGAAAGTTAGAGAAGGCTGGGCATGGTAGCTCATGCCTGTAACCCTTGTGCTTTGGGAGGCTGAGGCAGGAGGATCACTTGAGGCTAGGAGTTCCTAGACCAGCCTGGGCCACATAGCAAGACCTCAACTCCATAAAAAAATAAAGAAATTAGCTAGGTATGGTTGTGTGTGCCTGAAGTTCTAGTTACTCAGGAGGCCAAGATGGGAGGATTGCTTGAGGCAAGGAGTTGGAGGCAGCAGTGAGGTGTAATAATGCCACTGCCCTCCATCCTGGGCAACAGGACCCTTTTTCAAAAAAAAAAAAAAAAGCAGAGAAAATAAAAAGTCTAGTTCCAGGATCAAGGAGGTTACTAGGCAAAAAGCAGTCTCTGACAGCCCAGTCTGTGGGTGCAAATCCAGGGTCACTTCAGTGAAGGCCAAGAGCAACAGGACAGCAACATCATGGAGCAGCATAACCCCGGGAATGACTCGAGAGGGGGTTCCGAGCTCACAGCTGGTAGGGCTAACTACCCGGCAAGAACAGGCACAAAGAGTCCAAGCCCTTGGGCTGAGGAAACAGGGGAGGCTGAGCAGATCTCCTTCCTCAAAACAAACAGACTCTCTGGGGCAGAAGGCAGGGACCACTCTCATGCATTTTTGGATTCCCAGTGCCCTGCCAGGAACCTGGCACAGAATAGGCCCTTGACGTATAGTGCTACATAGTCATTAATTCAAAAAACAATGAGCATACCCACTATGTGCCACACTCTGTTCTTGGAGCTAAAAATATATCCACAAACAAAACAAATGGCAACTGCTGTTCTCACGGAGCTCATCGTCTAGTGGGCAGAGACAAACAATACACATAGTAAATTACACAGGATGTAAAAAGGGAAGAGGTGCCCGCCGAGGGAAGCACTGGTGGTGGCTGGAGGTTGGGTTCGTGAAGGGAGGGAGGAAGGGCCCAGTGTTTTAAAAAGGGTGGTCAGGGTGGGTCTCACTGAGAAGGTGAGATTTGAGGCAAGGCTTGAAGGAAGTAGGAGTATACCACGAGACTACCTGGGAGGAATGTTCCAGGCAGAGGGAGCAGCAGTGCAAAGTCCCTGAAGCAGCAGCATTCCCGGAGTGTTTGAGACTCATGTGGTGAGAGTGAAGTGAACCAAGGGAAGAACAGCAGGGGAGGATGCCAGGAGGGACTGGAGGTCACATTCCATAGACTTGGCAGGAAAATGGAGTCTGGGTTTGACTCTTGGAGAGACTGGGAGCCACTGGAGAATTCGGAGCAGAAGAGTGAGGTCTCACTAAATTCCTTAAAGGCTCACTGTGTCTGCTCTGTGAAGAAAAGATTCTTCAGTGCTTGCTTGGCAGCACATACACTAAAACTGGAACAATACAGAGATGAGCACAGCCCTTGCACAAGGATGACATGCAAATTCCTTAAGCATTCCATATTTTTAAAGAGAAATAAACAAATAAATACCATGATTTGAGGGAGCCAAAATAATAATTAAATAAAGAAATAAGGCTGGGCACAGTGGGCTAACACTTGTAATCCCAGCACTTTGGGAGGCCGAGGTGGGTGGATCATGAGGTCAGGAGTTCCAGACCAGCCTGACCAACATGGAGAAACCCCGTCTCTACTAAAAATACAAAATTAGCTGGGTGTGGTGGCGCGTGACTGTAATCCCAGCTACTCAGGATGCTGAGGCAGGAGAATCGCTTGAACTTGGGAGGCAGAGGTTGCAGTGAGCCGAGATTGTGCCACTGCACTCCTGCCTGGATGCCAGAGCAAGATTCCATCAATAAATAAATAAATACATACATAAAATAAAAAAATAAAATGACTCTTCAGTAAAGTTTCAGGACACAAAATTGGTATACAAAAATCAGTAGTGGTGATTTTTCTGGGTGCACTGGCTCATACCTGTAATCCCAGCAGTTTGGGAGGCTAAGGCAGGAGGATCACCTGAGCCCAGGAGTTTGAGACCAGGCCAGGCAATAAAGTGAGACAAAGAAACAAACAAAAATATCAGTGGCATTTCTATACACCAATAACAAGCTGATAATCCAATCGTGAACTCAATCCCATTTAGAATGGCTACCAAAAAAATCTCAAAACAAAACCTAGGAATACATTTAACCAAGGAGGTAAAAGATCTCTACAAAGAGAGCTACAAAATACTGATGAAAGAAATTGTAGATGACACAAATAAAAGCAAAAAACATCCCACATTCATGGAATGGAAGAATCAATGTTTTAAAAATGACCATAATGCTCAAAGCAATTTACAGATTTAATGGAATTCTTATCAAACTACCAACGTCATTTTTTACAGAATTAGAAAAAAAAGTCCTCAAATTCATGCGGAACCAAAAAAGAGCCTGAATAGTCAAAGCAATCCTAAGCAAAAAGAACAAAGCAGGAGGCATCACATTACCCAACTTCCAATTATATTACAAGGTTATAGTAACCCAAACAGCATGGTACTGGTATAAACACAGAAAAATAGATCAATGAAACAGAATAGAGAACCCAGAAATAAAGTCCACATACCTACAACCAACTGATCTTTGTCAAAATCAACAAAAATATAAACATGGGGAAAAGATGCCCTATTCAGTAAATGGTGTTGGAAAAATTGGACAGCCATATGAAGAAGAATCAAACAGGACCCATATCTCTCAGCATATGTAAAAATTAACTCAAGATGGATTAAAGATTAAACATGAGACTTGAAACTAGGGCCGGGCATGGTGGCTTACACCTGTAATCCAAGGACTTTGGAGGCCAAGGAGGGTGGATCACCTGAGGTCGGGAGTTCAAGACCAGTCTGACCAACATGGTGAAATCCCATCTTAAAAAAAAAAAAAAAAAAAAGACTTGAAACTATAAAAATCATAGAAGAAAACCTAAGAAAAACTCTTCTGGACATTGGCTTAGGCAAAGGATTTGTCCTTAAAAACAAATGCAACAACAAAAAATAGACAAATGAGACTCAAACTAAAAAGCTTCTGCACCACAAAAGAAACAGTCAACAGAGTAAATAGACAACCTATAGAATGGGAGAAAATATTTCCAAACTATGTATCCAATAAAGGGCTAATATCCAAAATCTATTAGGAAAGGCTGGGCACAGTGGCTCATGCCTGTAATCCCAGCAATTTGGGAGGCCGAGGGTGGTGAATCACTTGAGGTCAGGAGTTTGAGACATGGTGAAACCCTGTCTCTACTAAAAATACAAAAAATTAGCCAGATGTGGTGGCACGCGCCTGTAATTCCAGCTACTCAGGAGGCTGAGGTAGGAGAATTGCTTGAACCTGGAGGGTAGAGGTCACAGTGAGTTGAGATCACATCACTTCATTCCAGCCTGGGCGACAGAGCAACAAAATAATAAGAACAACAAAATAATAATCTACAAGGAACTCAATTAACTCAAGAAGGAAAAAATATATAATCCCATTAAAAAGTAGGCATTCTGCAGAAACTGGGCTCAAAAAAAGAAAAAAGTGGACAAAGGACATGAATATTTTTTTGAAAGAAGACATATGAGTGTCCCACAAACATATATATATAAAAGCTCAACTTCACTAATCATCAGAGAAATGCAAATTAAAACTACAATGAGACAGTATCTTATACTAGTCAGAATGGCCATTATTAAAAAGTCCAGAAACAATACATGTTGGCGAGGGTGCGGAGAAAAGGGAACACTTATGCACTGTTGGTAGAAATGTGAATCAGTACAACCTCCATGGAAAATGGTATGGAGATCCCTCAAAGAACTAAAAATAGAACTACCATTTGATCCAGCAATCCCACTACTGGGTATCTACCCAAAGGGAAACAAATCATTATACCAAAAAGACACCTGCACTCATGTGCTTATCACAGCACTAGTCACATAGCAAAGATAGGAATCAACTTAAGTGCCCATCAACAGAAGATCTGATAGAGAAAATCTGGTGTGTAGATATACCATGGGATACTACTCAGTTATAAACATAGAATGAAATCACGTTTTACAGAATCGCAGGCCATTATCCTAGGTGAAATAAGTCCGAAACAGAAAGTCAGATACTGAATGTTGTCACTTATAAGTGCGAGCTCTAAGAGGACATACAGGGTAGAAAAACAAGACACTAGAGACTCCAAAAGGTGGGAGGGTAGGAGAGGGGTGAGAGTTGAAAAATTACCTACTGAGTACAATGTTCACTATTGGGGTGATGGGTACACCAAAAGCCCTGATTTCACCACGTGCAATATATCCATGTAATAAAATTGCACTTCTACCCTCTAAATCTATACAAAGAGAAAAAAGAACAAGACTCTGATGGGGAGGGACTGGCAAGGGTGACAGTGAGGAGACCAGTTAGGAAACTACTACACTAATTTGGATGAGAGATGATTTGGACAGGATAGTGCTGTGGGGTGGTGACAAGTGATTTGATACCATGTGTAGTTTGAAGGTAGAGCTAATAGGATTCTGTGAGGGACTGGATGGGAGACATGAGAGAAGAGATAAGGATGAAGACTTTGACCTGAGTAACTAGAAGGATGGAACTATGATTAACTAATAAGGGAAAAAGTGCAGGTGAAGTTAGTTTTGTTTGTTGCGTCTATTAGATGACCAAGTAGAGATGTGGAGCAGTGACAGAGGAAGTCGCCAGCAAGGAGGTGACACATAAAGCCATGAGAAGAGGTCCAGACACTGGGCCCTGCAAGCAGCAAAGTAGATGGAAGAGGACCAAACATGGAGATAAGAGAAAGTCCACAGTGTGGATCTCAGAAGCGAAGACGGGAGTTTCCCAGAGGAAGGAGCCATCAGCTCCATCAGAAGCTGCAGAGACTTCCAGAAGATGGGAAATGAGAACTACTGAAGTTAGTGTTGTGAAGGTCACTGGGGACCCTGACAATAGCAGTTCTGATGAAGTACTGTGATGCAAAAGCCTGGAGTGGGTTAAGAGGGAATGGGAAGAGAGAAATTAGAAAAATCGAGGGCAGACATCCTTTTGAGTTTTGCTGCGATGGGGAACAGGAGATGGGTGGCAACTGCAGGGGATATTGAAATCAAGAGAAAATTTCTTTTTTCTATGGGAAACTTCAGCATTGAACCAGTAGAGAGGGAAAAATTGATGATCTAAAGTAAAGAGGGGCTGGGTGCGGTGGCTCACACCTGTAATCCCAGTACTTTGGGTGGCCGAGGTAGGCAGATGACTTGAGATTAAGAGTTTTGAGTCCAGCCTTGGCCAAAATGGCAGCCAATGCATTCCAGCCTGGGTGACAGAGCAAGACTCTGTCTCAAAAATAAATACATACATACATAAAATAAAAAGGGAAAAAAATCACTGGCACAGTCATGTTGAGCAGGCAAAAGAGGATGGAATCTTGTGTTGGGGGTTGGCCTTAATTAGGCAATTGAGGCAGGAACTCTGGAAACTGTAGGGAAAGCTGATTCTACACAGGAAGGTAGGGAGAGGTGGTATTGGGAGTCTGAGGAGAGCTGGTTGCTTCCATTTTCTCAGTGAAGTGGGAGGCAAAGTTAGCCGAGAGTCAGGATAAAGGAAGAGATGTGAGAGGTTTGAGGAGAAACAAAATGTGAAATAGTCTTCCAGGAGAGTGGGAGAGGAGAGGAGGTGGAGCCAGGAGCTGCATGCAGTTAATATGAAGGAAGCACCAGTCTTCATAGATCATATCCCCAGAGCAGCCAAACAAGGGCTCTCAGAAGTATTTTTTGCCAGAGTGAGAGGTTCAGCTGAGCCACTTACAGCCTATTTTAGTTTTCCGTGTGACAATGTACTGTGTGGCTACTAAAAGCTTTTGCAAAGAGTGCAAAGATAATTAGTCTGAGCCCAGACCCTTGGCCCTGTTCTTTTCTTTTGAGACAGGGTCTTGCTGTGTTACCCAGGGTGGAGTGCAATGGCGCAATCACAGCTCACCACAGCTTCAACCTCCAGGGCTCAAGCAATCCTCCTGCCTCAGCCTCCCAAAGTGCTGGGATTACAGATATGAGCCACTGTGCCTGGCCAACTTTTTCAAACTGTCTTATCTCTCTCTCTCTTTTCTTTTTTTTTTTTTGAGAGGGAGTTTCGCTCTTGTTGCCCAGGCAGAAGTGCAATGGCGCAATCCCAGCTCACTGAAACTTCCACCTCCGGGGTTCAAGCAATTTTCCTGACTCAGCCTCCCAACTAGCAGGGATTACGGGCATGCACCACCATGCCCAGCTAATTTTATATTTTTACTAGAAATGGGGTCTCTCCATGTTGGTCAGGGTGGTCTCAAACTCCTCATCTCAGGCGATCTACCCTCCTCCCAAAGTGCTGGGATTACAAGCGTGAGCCACCTCACCTGGCCCAGACTGTCTTATCCCTTATCCCCTGGATTACTTACTGCAAGAGCCTCCCATCAGAGCTCCCTGCCTCTCACCTTGCCCCATCCTATACAATGCACCAGACTGT